GAGTGACCTCCTGGGGTATCCACGTTGGGTCTCTGCCTTTCTACACCCTCCCAGTGTCTTCTGTGGATTACTGCCACGACCCAAAACTCGGCCTCCGTTCTACACACCTGCCCAGTGTTCCTGGAGGAGATGACGCTGACATCAGCGGGGTTTTCGATGGCAACAATAGCCCGAGCTGCAAGCAGCAGCTTCTCCCAGGTCCTCTTCAGATTGATGATGTAGATGCCTACGTGGAAACAAGTGGACGGGAAGGGCTTTCAAGACTGCTTTACCCTGGCACTCTGGAGGCCAGGCTGGCTAGGGCTCACACATCTAACCGACTGCCTCCCAAGTCTACCTGGCAACAAATGATTGTTGTGCCCAGATGGATTTGCTAACCTAGCTGAACAAACAAACACTCTGGAGGAAGGCAGACTATGGATGTGGCAGAGACCACTATCAAACTCCAGTCACAGAGGCAAGCTCTACTGGTGTTAGCGAAAATCCTGCCATCTGTTCAATGTAGCACACTTCCGACACTCAGAAGTTCACCGGCCCAGGAGGCCTCCACCCTGAGCTTTAATAGTGTGCAGCTTCAGTTCCTTGGGGTAATCCTCCATCATGTCCTCTACCCTGTGGACCACTGCATCAACTTCAAATCCGTCCTACCAATCCCTTACAACACTCGATTCTCCCTCAGGTGCCTAGTGAGCGAACCCCCGCCCCTTCTCACAACCCAGCCTGCCAATTTTTCTCGACTCTTGTATATCCCCATACCTCATTCCACTTCCCACTAAAGCTACGCAGGCGACCCCTATGACTTCATCTGTGACACAGGGTGCACCGTAGGATATAACATATCCCCAGCCAGCTGCGGCACCCCTCCAAACAACAGGACAGTGTCCCAACAGAGCACTCAGTATCGGCACTGCCCACAGCAGGGCAGTCGGAGACTTAAGAGAAGTTTACCCGAGAAGTTTACCCGACTTATCAAAAGCGGTAACTGACCATCGCTTTTCCTTTTGTAGATGTACTGCTCCATCTGGAAGTCGAGGTTGGTGCCACCTAAGTGGGTGCCTGCAGCGAGGAATTTGAGGACATCCTCCTCCTTCATCTGCAGGACATCAAGGGCTCCGGACATTGTGTAAGTTTCCCCTTTAAGTTACGTCGGGAACCTGGAAGAGCAGAAATGCACCAGGTTTTCCTATTTCTTTTCCGAGCCTAGATCTCCATGTAGCCCGAGCTGTCCTAGCACTCATATTCGCCACGCCTCCCGAGAGCGGGGGTTCAAGGCGTGGGCGTCCTCTAGCATGGGAAGCTAAGTGGGATGGATTCGTACTCTACCCCTTTTAACTTCTCTGGCCACCTATCACACAAGTGCATCGGACCTTGTGTCAGAAAGAGAACTCAGAAAAAGTAGCCAAGCGGAAGCTAACGCTTCCGCAATCAGACAGATATCAAAGACTTGTGCAAAGGCAGCCATGTCTGGGGTGTTTCAGGTTTTTCGTAGCTCGAGACTGTGGCCGGCAGCTCCGGATCAGTCTCTACGCGCCTCACAAGCACTTTCCCAGCACGCGGCCGCCGGGGCCTGCAGCCTGGCGCGAGCGCCCGCCCCACCTCACGGGAGGCCACCACGTGGCGCAGCCGCCGCCTCCGGGAAAGAAGCCGCTCGGGTAGGCGCGGCCTCGGGGCGTTCGTGCCCATCCACGGAGCGACAGGGTCGAGCCCGTGACGCCGGGCGGCATCGAGGACCCCACCAGAGACTCACCAAGAACAACGCCGTATGGACCCGTCCCGGGGCAGCGCGGAAAGGACCGGCGGCCGGAAATGACGTCAATAAATAAGCCACAGCTAGCCAATAGCAAAGCAGATTGAGCGAAAAGAGGGCAGAACTTTCCCTCCGGAAAGAGGCTCGCGACGCACGCGCAGACTCAGCAGGCAAGCCCTTTACGTCCCTGCGGAGCGGAAGTTGAAAAGTCCCGCGCCTGCCCCGCCGCGATCGTTGCGTAGAGCGGGGGCCGGAAGTAGCTGGGAGGCCGAGGGTCGTGACTCCGCGGCTGGGGCGCAAAGTGCGCTAGTCCTGTTGGAAGGTTTATGCAAACCAGGCCTGTGCACAGCAAGCACAGCCTGGCGGATTGTCACGTGGTCCCTGGAGGACGAATTACCAACGCGCAATTATCTCTGGGATGTTTTCTTGAAAGTATAAAGGACAAGACTATGCATAAAATTATTTTTTGTTCAAAGAGATAAATGCAGTTAGTAAGCATTCTGTTCAATGGAATGCCATGCAGTCATTTAAGGATAAAATATGTCCTGTCGTAAAACTACAAAAATACGTACGAAAGATGGCTGAACAAATAAAAAGTAGACAGTAAAAACGAAAACAATGCGTTTGCTCACCCTCACAACCAGTCTTGGGCTTGGGCGGTGTGACTGTCCCCATTTCTTTGATACAAGTGAAGAACAGGCTTTAAGCCTGGGCCATCTGTGTCAGAGCTTATTAAACACCGGAGGACATACTCACCCATCCCTCTGATCCTTGGAGAAATTAATGGTTCCTTCCTAAATTTGAGAACACCACCAAAAAATTGATGGGTTCCCAGTAGGATATTACAAACGTGTTGAAGGTATGTGGAGATGACAGGTTATCTATTTACTGTTCATTCTGCTGGGTGCTAGATCGCTTGCCTTACCTCACAAGGCTCTGGATTTGTTCAGTTCCCAGAACGTCAGAGGAAAAACAGCTCTGACCTGAACCTGGTGATACACACCTGTTAATCCTAACGCTGGGGCAAGAGGGGCAAGAGGGGCTTGGCTTTGAGGGTGTAGCAGTACCCGGTGTCCAAAAAGAAAAGAAAAGGTAAAACTAAATATTGAACTTCCACCACATCAGGAATGTATCTCAAAATATTTTGATAAATAAAATACAGAATATTCTAGAATCTATTATTAAATGATATGTTCAGAAAGGCAAAATAATGGAAAATGAGATGTGGGTTGGGAATGAAGATTAAGAGATACTTTTACAAGGGGAATGTTCTTTTTTTTTTTTTTGCCAGTGATTGTTTTTTTTTAATTTATTTATTTATTTAAGGATTTCTGCCTCCTCCCCCCACCGCCTCCCATTTCCCTCCCCCTCCCCCGATCAAGTCCCCCTCCCTCATCAGCTCAAGAGCAATCAGGGTTCCCTGACCTGTGGGAAGCCCAAGGACTGCCCACCTCTATCCAGGTCTAGTAAGGTGAGCATCCAAACTGCCTAGGCTCCCACAAAGCCAGTATGTGCAGTAGGATACAAGGGGAATGTTCTAAAACCAATTTAGGATCACGGTTGCACCCCTTAGACAGGGTCTCAAAGTGGAGGGTGACTGAGCTCCCAGTGATGGTGTGTACCCCCACACTGGCTGTGGTCTTTCCTTAGGTGTGCACCCCCACACTGGCTACGGTCTTTCCTTAGGTGTGCACCCCACACTGGCTACGGTCTTTCCTTAGGTGTGCACCCCACACTGGCTACGGTCTTTCCTTAGGTGTGCACCCCACACTGGCTGTGGTCTTTCCTTAGGTGTGCACCCCCACACTGGCTGTGGTCTTTCCTTAGGTGTGCACCCCCACACTGGCTACGGTCTTTCCTTAGGTGTGCACCCCACACTGGCTACGGTCTTTCCTTAGGTGTGCACCCCACACTGGCTACGGTCTTTCCTTAGGTGTGCACCCCACACTGGCTACGGTCTTTCCTTAGGTGTGCACCCCACACTGGCTACGGTCTTTCCTTAGGTGTGCACCCCACACTGCTCTAGTGTTTTCTTGTACTTACTCCTTTGGCAGAGCTGGGGTTTGAACTCAGGGCCTTCCATGTGTTAGCACTCCACTCAGCCATACATCCAGCTCCAAACCACTGGTCCATTGGTTTGTGTACCAACAGGTACATTGTCTAGTGTGTAAACTAAAGCTACTTTTGTTTTCCTCTTGATTTTCTGAGACAGAGTTTCTCTGTGTAACCCTGGCTGTCCTGATACTCACTCTGTAGAGCAGGCTATCCTCCAACTCAGGGATATGCCTACCTCTGCCTCCTGAGTGCTGGAATTAAATGAGTGTGTCATCACGCCTGGCCCTAAATTAAGTTTTAGGGATTAAATGGCTGGTCAAAAATTAAGTCACATCAAAATCACTCTGCTGTCTTCAGGGAATGAGACATACTGCATGTTTACCAACCAGCACTTGTTTTAACAAAATGAAGATGTGAGGGCCAGCCATGATAATCTAAGTCTGGGCAGAAAGGAAGATGTGAGGGCCAGCCATGATAATCTAAGTCTGGGCAGAAAGGAAGATGTGAGGGCCAGCCATAATAATCTAAGTCTGGGCAGAAAGGAAGTTCTTCACTTCCAACCATTATCACCTGAAGCTGTGTCTCTGGTTTTTTTGGTGCCATTGTCCTTCCTGTTTTTTGTCCCGTATGTCTGTGTATTGTGTGTTGTTCTTTTGTCCTTAGACTGACGCTGACGTACTCAAATCATGACTACTTTGACTTTGATATTGTGACCACTTGCAAGACTTTAGAGATAGGGCCATAAGCATAGCAGTATATTTCATAAAGTCAGCCTCAGCCCCAAGCACATGGCTGCGGGCAGCAAGCCTGTATGGATGGCTGGGCTATTCAGCCTTGCTGTTACAAGGTATCGAGGCTGCCAGGCACAGTTGTAGAAGGCGGATGTACCCCAATAGGATTTCAAACACTAAACAAAAAATCTGAGAGTAATCGCTATGGCCTAAAGAGGCTAACAATCTTTTTCCCCAGTGCTGCATACCACCCTGCCCCCCCTCCTGTGCTGGTGGATGAGTTCCTTCCGCCTGCCTTGGGGACTACGGGCCTCAAACTTCTGGTCAAACCTGACCAAGGTTTGGCTTTGCAGGTGAAGGACTCTTTCAGATCCTATGGATTATAAATATGTCATCATTTATAGGGGCTGGTTACAAATTATTGTTGGTTAATGTACAAAAAAAAAAACTTTTGTTGGTCTCAAATGTTTCACACTGGTACAGGATTGTTTATTTTTGTCACCTCAGTCTCCAGTCCACTGATGTCTTTATTTAAAAAATTACATTTATTCACTTATTGGATATAGGTGTTTGCCACAGTGCACATGAGGAAGTCAGAGAACAACTTATAGGAACTAGGTCCCTCCACCATGAGTCCTGGGACCCACTGCAGGTCACATGACAAGCTGACTTTCCTGGTATCCACTGCAGGTCACCTGAAGAGCTGACGTTCCTTGCCAAGCCATCTCACTGGTCCACGGCAGCGCTTGGGTCCAGTCTTCCCTAACTTGAGACTCCTGCCCTCAGCCATGGCAGGAGGCCCACAACCTCTCTACTGTGGGATTCCTGGCTTCTAGGCAAATCTACGGTGTCCTGTGATGGAGGTAGGTGGCCCAAACAGAGCAATCTGGCAGAGGTCTCCCTAGAAATGCCTCTCATAGCCTGTGGGACAACCAGGCTTGCTCCCCAGCTCCTGTGTGTTGACTGGGAGTGTGTCCGGAGCTGTGGGCACTGGTGACTCCATTTCTGAGGCTCTGGGGGCTCCAGGCTCCTCCGGTCTCTCTCTGAGTGTCTGAGGCTCCGGGGGCTCCAGGCTCCTCCGGTCTCTCTCTGAATGGGGGACTAAAGGCAACAGCATTTCTGCCTGGTTCCTCAGACTGCACTTCACCTGACTCCAGGAAAGTGAGCTGCAGCGGGCCACATCAGGAACCAGGCAAGACGGCAGATCTTCCTTCCCCAGCCGTCTCTTTCAGGAGTTCAGACCCATCTTGGCCATCATTTCTTCATAGACAGTCCATGCCATGGCAGCCATCAGAGTTCTACGGAGGGCCCGGGGAACGCTGCCATGGAAGAAGCCACGCAGCCCATGGTTCTGTGATAAGAACAATTCAACACTTCAAAAGCAAAGCCGCAGTACAGCTAGTTATGCCCATCACCAGAGACCTTGCTACTCCACTTCAGAACCTTAATTTCTATCTGTAGTACCAAACCAAGGAGAAAACCAAGGAACCGCCAATTTTCCTGTAACTGTTAGGGTCTGCCTCTTTAGATCTGCACTACCTAGGGAAACTTCTTAGTTGAAAAAAGAACACTTAGAATCTGGAGTGGTGGCGCAGGCCTTTAATCCTGGCACTCTGGAGGTAGAGGCATGTGGAGCTTTTGAGTTCAAGGCCAGCCTAGTCTACATAACAAGTTCCAGAACAGCCAGTGCTATGTAATAGAGACCCTTTTCAAAAAACAAAACAAAACAACAACAACAACAACAAAAAGTCATTCGGGATCAGAGAGCACTTGCTGCTCTTCTAGAATTTGCTTTGCAGCACCCACAGGGCAGCTCATCTTTTACTCCAGCACCAAGGGATGCAGTGCCCTCTTCTGGCCTCTATAGGTGGTACACACACACACACACACACACACACACACACGTAAAATTAAAGGGATTTTTAAAAGAACATTAAAAGATTTGACTGGGGTGCCAGAGGTTAAAACCAGATCTAGGCAACTGAAAAGCTCTCTCTCCTGGGAACTCCCTTATCAGAGCTGCTGCGAGCAGTTTGGTTTGTGTGTCTGTGGTTCTGTTTTCATTGCTCTGGTTTGTTGACTTGCTTTGAGATGGGACCCTCACTACCACAGCCCAGATAACACTCGCTTCAAACTCCTAATCCTCCTTCCACAGATGACAGAGCTAGGGCGAAGGTGTGGGCCACTATGCCCAGCCAGCTGTACCATTTATACAATGCAAAGAAGTACCAAGCAGCATACAAAATACAGACTAGGGCTACCTGCCAAGTTAGGGATCTGGATCAGATTGCTGGAAACTGGAGTTACAGTCGGAAGCTGGGAGATAAAATGCGCTTTGTAAGGGCAGCACACACTTCACAGCTTACCTTGAAGATGAGCGCGGCTGCCTGGCCAATCCACTGGGACTTCACTGGGGAGAGCTGCATGTGAGTCTTGATCACGTCTGCAGGCTGAGTCACCAGTGAAGCCAAAATGCCAGCAAATATCCCACAGCTGAAATTAACCAGGGGCATCACAGCAACATCTAACTGGTCTGAAACGGAACAAGAGCACAGACACGTGGAGAGGCAGGGTTAACCAGTGTGCTCAGGGCAGACATGACCAGAGTCCTGTGATGTGTCTGGATTGGGGTCATGGGAAAACTCATTATTCAGTATAATGATTTAAAACAATTAATATGCTAATTATATTTATTTCATAGTTACTTAAAACTATCTGACAGTTCTGCAGCACCTGACTGGACAGTGTGGGTGAGAACATCCTCTAACTGAACCTTACAGGTGAGAACACCACCCGAATGGACGGTGCAGGTGTGAACACTCTCACCTCGTTACTGACACTAGGTGGGAAAATTTTAGTTTTTATTCACCAAGGACACTGCTGGCTTTGAAGATTCAATATATGCCAACACTTGGGAGGCAAAGGAGGGCAGATCTTTGTGAGGTCGAGGCCAACTTGGTCACAAAGCAAGTTTCAAGACAGCCAGGGTTGTTACACAAAGAAACCCTGTCTCAAAAAAACAAAAATAAAGTAAAAGATTTAATATACATTTCCAATATCAAAAAAGTATTCATTCATTAATTCCAGTTTTTAAAGATTAATGGACGTGAAACTTTAGTTTTTTTAATTAATGTGGACACAACAGGTTAAGCCTGGTGACTCACTCATGCCTTAACCCTATGCTCGGGAGGTGGAGGTCGGCTCAATTCTAGGGTCTCAGCCAGGCTGGTTTACAATAGCGAGTGAGTTCTAGGCCACCCACGGCTACATTTCCTTACTGCCTTAAATTTCTGTTGTAAAATGAGACTGTGACCTGCAGGGCACATCTGTTCCCTGGGGGAAGAAGCCAGTCTCCCCGAGTCACCAGGGGTGTTCCCAGTCCCACTTCCCCCACTATCCAGACAGCTTCCTGAGCTCAGGCGCACTCTGCAGAATGGGTTCCAAGCAACTCTGCCTGGTTCTGTCAGCATCTGCCACCCAGACTTGGCTCGCGTTGGCCTACAAGCTTACTGGGGGACAGGTCAAGTTTGTGGTTCTGGCCCCACCCATAGAGGGCTCAGGACAGTAGCAGGGCACAGCAAGGGGACTGAAAACTTCCTCAAATCCCCAGTCAGTGTCGCCAGACTGCTCTGTTTGTCTCACAGGGAATGCTCACTGACAAACACACTCACAGGCTGCACCCCAAAGCTTCAGCCCTAGGGTGTCTGGGGCATGCTATTGCAGAGCCTTGTCAAAACACACTTTGTGTTTCATCCAGCCTACCCTCTTTCCTTTAGAAGACCCCAACTCTATAGGACATCCTAACACCCAGCCCCAAATTGGCTCCTGTGGCGGTTTGAATGTAATTGGCCCCATAAGCTCACAGGGAGTGACACATACTGGAGTGGGTATGGCATTCTTGGAGGAAGTATGTCACTGTGGGGGTGGGCCTTAAGGTCTCAGACCAATTTCTATTGCCTGTAGGTCAAGATGTATTAGCTCTTCGTTCCTTCCAGCACCACGTATCCCTGCGTGACATCTTTTTCGAGACAGGGTTTCTCTACAGCCCTGGTTATCCTGGAACTAGCTCTTATAGACTAGGCTGGTCTCAAACTCATAAAGATCCGCCTGTCTTTGCCTCCCGAGGTTGGGAGTAAAGGCGTTCACCACCACCACTGGGCCTGCATGACATCATGTTGCACCATGATGGTAATGGACTGAACCTCTGAACTAAATGTCTTCGTTTATATGCATTGCCATGGTCGTGGTTCTCTTCACAGCTCCATTCCCAACGCTGCTATGACTATTCCAGAGAAAAAATGGAAAATGCAGCCTCTCAGAGACTCCTCTTGCCAACCACACACTCCCTTACCTGTACCACAGAGCACTGCGGTCTTGGTCTGGCTGTAAAACATCAGGTAGAGCCCTGAAAAGGGCGCGTCACGCAGCAGAGTTGCTGTCAGGCCTCTGAAGAGGCCCCGGTGGCCCTCACTGCAGTAGATGCTCCTCAGGGCTGCATAGACGCTCCCATAGCTGTAAGTCCCACTCTACAAAGAGCAGATACAGTGACCGGCACAGGTCAGCATCTGGACAGCGACCCAAGCACAATTCTGGCTGCGTACCATCACCAAGGAACCAGGCTTTCCTTCATATGTGGCTTCCCTGCCTACGAAACTGAGGTACCTAAGCACATTTGACCCCGAGTCAGACTACACACCCGGGACCACAAGTGTTCACTACCCTGATCCCTAAGGTTCTAAAACTGTCAGACTTACCTCATAGCGTGTCTTGATCACTGTGATGGGTGACATGCAGACTCCTGCGACAGAGCGTGAGCCCATGCCCAGGATAACGGACTCCAGGGCGGTGGGAGGATGGCCTCGCAAGAAATACTGCTTCAAAGAGTACAGAGTGCCAAAGTAGATTCCGACGCCAGGGACACACCTCATGATGGACTGCGGGGAAAGACAGAGGGATGGAGGATGAAAACAAAGGCTCAAAACTGCAAGGTGCCTTCTGGGAGGGTGGTCCACATGCAAGCTGCTTGTTTACAGTGTGGAGGGAGCACCAATGGGAGGAGGGGCAGCGACAGGGCAGGCAGCAGCCAATAAGGAGTGTATCAGAGCAGCTACAGCTGTGGGTAAGTCAGCCCCCTTGGCAAGCTTTAGCCGTCAGCGAACATCCCACCCCTTGCCATCTCTCTGCTGAAGGGGCAAGGGGAGTGGTTAAACATCACTTCCCATCTTCTAGTGGCTGAAGGCTGGAGGGTGGGAACCAATGCTTGGCGCTTCCATCAAGGTGGGCCAGAAAAAGCCTTTGGGTGAAGAAATAAGGTGTGGTTGTCCCAGGCCACTTTCCCAGTGGTGGCAAAGATGAGGCTAAACTGACAGGCAGTGGACGCCAGCCCTAGAGCTGGTGCCATGCTAACAATCGTACTTTAGGAATAGAGACATCAGTGGCAGTACAGGGGACAGGGAGGAAGTCAACAGTCCCCTCATATCTGTCGGGAGGGGGTAGCCAGAACAGTGGAGAACCCTGAGCCCTATGCAGGCTGCACTTCTGTCTCCACTGTTCAAGTACAGGTGACAAAGTTCACTTATAAACAAGGCACGGTCATAACCTTTGTGTGTCTGTGGCCTCCCTTGCCCTTACACCTTACTGTCCTGTTCTCCCTCTGCTTGTGATATTTGGAGCCAACGAAACACCTGGGGAGGAGATGATGCAGTGATCGACACAGGCACCAGGTGAGGTCAGGCTACTACTGACCTGAGGACCTGTCACAGGGGGGCAGCCACGATGATCCGCATGGCTGGACTGAGGAGCAGGGGTGCTGACAGCCAGAACATCCTGACCAAGAAAAGGCTGCCTTACTTCTGAAACTGTTCAAAAGAACCAAGACCGGTGTCCTCCCTTCAGCTCACTCCAGCTGCTGCAGGAGTCACAGCCCTTCAGGGACACTCAAGGATGATCTGATCTCACGATTTTGTCCTTTAACGTGCAATCTGAAACACTTGGGCAAACCTGGATAATATCCACATCCACGTTTCTTCTCCGTCTTCTAATAAGCGACTCAACAAGGTCCTCCCATGCTTCACTTGTTTCTGTTTCCAGACAGGATCTCATTCAATAGCCTTGTCTGGCTGCTAATTCACGGGGATCCCCTGCCTCTGCTTCCTTAGTGCTGGGGTTATGCCCAGCAGTTACTTTAAAAAGGAAATTTATTTTTGTTTAGTGTATAGATGTGTGTCTGTATACGGGTTTGTACACGTATGTGAGAGAATGCAGAGTCCAGAAAAGAGCACTGGATCCCCTGGACCTGGAGCTACAGTCAGTGTGAGCTGCCTGACATGGGTGCTGGGATGGAACCCAGGTTTAAACACATGCTTTGTTTGCTCAACGCATGCTCTTTACCACTGAGCCATCCTCCAGTCCATTAGCACTTCCTGACGGCCTTCAGTCTGCTCTCTCCCTTCCTGTCAGGCATGGCGCGGGTCCCGTTGCGCGGGCACCTTAGAGAAGAGCCTCACTGCTTCACATCTGTCCCTGGCTTAGCTTCTTCTCTCCTCAGTCACGTCAACGTGCCAGAAACACGGCAGCCGCTTCAGTCACAGGTACGGCTTGCTCTTGCCCAAGGCGGCTTCCGAACGCAGGTAATGCATCTCTCACTTGCACTGAGTGGCTGTGGTCACTTCAGGAGATCTCCTGCTGAAGTCTTCAGCAGGCTCAGTGCCCTCTGGCGGACCATGCTGCCATCAATTAGACCATATTTTCTGTTCCTGTCTCCACTCACAAATGCAGTGTTCTGTCCATTTAACCTAGAACTTTCCACACGCCATGGCTGTGATCACACTGTACCATTAACTTCTGCAATCTGAACTATGACAACAAATATAGCCTGGATTTCAGGACCTCCAGGGTGCACAAAGAAACCGTGTCTCAACAAAACAACAACAACAAAAGCCTGGATTTCAGGACCTCCAGGGTGCACAAAGAAACCCTGTCTCAACAAAACAACAACAACAAAAGCCTGGATTTCAGGACATCCAGGGTGCACAAAGAAACCCTGTCTCAACAAAACAACAACAACAAAAGCCTGGATTTCTTTTTCCTCTTCCACAACTTCATACACACAGCATTCCTTCCTGCCATCTAGTGTTATTTTCTTTTCTTCTTAAGATCTTCTACCTTCCCGGTCCCCTGAAAGCCCCGTCCAGCTTCCCTCTGGCCCATCCTACTGTCTGCACCAGTGCTCCTGTGTGCTGAGGGCACCATAAGTAAAACACGGGCTGCCCGGACACAAAGCTCAGGATTCCCAGCAGGTGATCTGACTACTAACAGCAACTGAGTGACGGCTGGGCAAGTGGGGAGCACAGCTCCGATGTGAGTGACCCCCCACACTCAAAACAATGCACAGCTGAAAGCTTATAAACTACTTATGTCATCTACAGAATTTTCTATTGAATGTTTCAGAGCAAGGCTGACTGCAGGGAACTAAAACCACAGACTATGATTCGAAAGGGAAATGTCCCTCACAAACCATGTGTTTAAACACCTTGTTACCAGTGGGTGGCGCTGTTCTGAGAGACAGTGAAATGTCAGAGGTAGGAGGCATGACTGCTGGACTTGGGTCACTGGAGCTGGCTTTGAAGTATGTCATAGACCCGCCTACTTCTGGCCGAGGCTCTCTGCTTCCTGGTTTGCTGAGATGTGATGAGTTGCCTCAAGCCCCTCCTCTGAGACTGTGGAGAGCTATTCCAGCTGCCATGCCTTTCCCACCAAGATGGACTCCCGTCCCACACAAGCCCAGACAAGCATCTCCTCTCTTGAACTGCTCCTGTGAGGGTTCTGGTTCTAGCCATGAAAGGTAACACACGGATGGGGAGGAGCTACACAGACAGGGAGGAGCTACATAGATGGGGAAGAGCCACAGACAGGGAAAAGCGACACAGGTGGGGAGGAGCTACACAGATTGGGAGGAGCCACACAGATGGGGAGGAGCTACACAGATGGGGAGGAGCCAACAGACGGGGAGGAGCTACATGGATGGAGAAGAGCTACATAGTCTAACACTGACTGTGAGCTGGAGGAGAAGGATCACTAAACAAGTGAAGCAGGAGAACCAAAAGGCAGCTTACAGGAGACATTCCTTTCCAAAGGCCCAGAGGACTTTCTGTGCGAACCACCTTCAAGAACACAGCCAACATCCCGACACGCCTGGACCTGAAGGAGACAAAAGGGACAGGAAAAGAAAACAACTGTTAGACCAGACCCTCACAGTAGAGTTCCCACCAAAGACTGTCTAAAATCCGCAGGAATCTTTATACTAAATTTTATTATATATCGTGTGTGTGTGTGTGTGTGTGTGTGTGTGTACATGCAAACATCTGGAAGTCAGAGGACAACTTGCAAGAGTCAGTTTTCTTCTCCCATGTGGGTCCTAGGGATCAGTCTCAGGTGGTCAGGCTTGCAGTAAGCACCTGCAGAGATCACCCATCTCAGCAGCCCTGGAATTCTTCATTTCCACGTGTTCATGGTTTGGCACACGCATACTTAACTGTTTATTCACACCACAAGCAATGGAATAAACTCCACTTTACATAGTAGCTCCCATAGTGCTCCAGAGACAAACACATTTAAAATGGATGCTATTTACAACAAACAAACAAACCAGTACCCGGCAGCATAGTTACAATGTCACGAGCTTGCACCAGTACCGGGCAGCACAGTTACAATGTCATAAGCTTGCACCAGTACCCGGCAGCATAGTTACAATGTCACAAGCTTGCATCAGCAGCACAGTTACAATGTCACAAGCTTGCACCAGCAGCATAGTTACAATGTCACAAGCTAATTCAAGAAAAATGCAAATGTCACCAAAGACAGTCCTCTGGAGCTGACCAAAAGACCCCAATTAACCAAGAAAAATCAAATTATAATGTGTTATAAATAACTATATTAACTTTTTCTTCAGAAAACAGTATTCACAAAGCACGTGGCCCAGTACTCAGGAAACTGAGGCAGGAGGATTGCAAGTTCAAGGTCGGCACAGGATACACAGGTAGACTCTTGTCTGAAACAAACACAAACAACAACCAAAAGGAATTCCAGCCTGGCTTGTGTTGATTTAATTTGTAAGGCTAATCCTGTGTCTGAGAAGTTGCTAAAGCTGGTTCCTCCATGAAGCGGGGCAACAGCCTACCGTAGGTCCGAGGGCTGTAGGGTCTGCAGGCGTGTTTTGAGGAGATCCAAAGGCTGAAAGAGGAGGGTGGAGCAGGTCCCACTGATAGAACCACAGAGGAAAGCCTTGATCACCGGATGTAACTGCAAGACAAGGGACCGTGGTGTCAGCAGGCCTGGTCACCAAGCCAGCTCCTTTGCCCACACCTGCACCTGAAGCCCTTCAGGCTCTACCTGTCACAATCCCATTCTAGCCAAGGCTCTCTGCTTCCTGACTCTGAACTGTGACCACTTGCATCATGCCCCTCCCATAAGGCTGATGGGAGCTACTCCAAGTGCTAGGCTTTTCCCACCAGGATGGGAAAGTAAAGTCTGCAGCCAATACTGAAATGTGCACAACAAAAGGGACCTCTCTTGTCTCACTATTACTGCTATAACGCTGGTTCCACTAGGCAACATGTCCATTTCACAGCAAGCGAACCTGTCTGCCCTGACTGAAGAGTCACTGACCATGGTCTCATGCTGAGAGTAGTCTTAGCTGTTGGCTTCCCCAGGCTAGTTGGTTTAGGAACTATAGATGTTTATAGGAACAAGTCAAAAGCCATGAGACCTAAGCTTGGCCACTGTGTATAGCTTCCAGCACTCCATGAATTTCTGTGCTTAGAGCTTAGCCTTTCAAGCCAGCGGTAGATGCAGTTGCACACACCTGGGAGGAGAGGCAGGCAATCTCTTAGTTGAGACCAGCCTGGCTTACAGAGTTCAAGGACAGCCAGGGCTACACAGAGAAACCCTCTCTGGGGGGGGGGGTGTTTAAAAAAACAGCAAAAACAAAAACAAACGAAATCCCTCTGCCTTTCTTCTACCCACCATCTCACAGAGACCCAGCGGACCACACTGCGCAGTGCAGTCACTGCTGACCTGCGGCCCCGCCCTCAGCCCTGCATCAGCACAGGTTGCCTTATCTTCTGGCTCCACACAGAAGGGCAGCACTCTTTCAGACACTCAAGTATCTCTCCTAGGCACACCCCAGGAGCCCCAGCTCAGGGCCTGGGCTTCCACGACAGTGTCTGTCCCCTTTCTGGAATGCAGCAGAGTCACCAATGGCAATGAACAGACACTTCGAAACTCCTTCTCCTCCCACCAGGACACTTGGCACAGCCCATCTGAGGACCTTCTCTTCCCCCATTTAATGACATCTCACTCCCCACCCCCGAAATCAGACAAGATTAGGGGTATTCCAGGTGGTATGGCCATAGATTACTTATTTAAGTAACTGACACACTGTAGTCCTAATGGCTTACTAGGACTATGAAGTCTGTTACATCAAATTACCAGGACCCCAAATGTCATCAGAAGCACCCATTCCAGAGAGAAGAGAACCCACCCTAACTTTAATCAAACACACATGGGGTTGGCGTTAAGCCCACTGGGACTAAATAAGTTCTGAGAGTTGAAGGCTGGATGAGACAACCACCCTGGGTGCCAGCAGGGCTCCCAGAAGACAGCCGGCACAACCAGGCAGTATGCATTTCAGCACATCTGTACTGGCGGCCAGTGCCCTCTCCCCAGAGATGCCAACTATTCTGCTAATCAATTCCCCAAAACCCTGCTCAGCCTTACCTGAGCCTCTGAAGTGTTGGGGGATTCAATCCCCTCACACACCAGGTCCCTCTCTTCCTTGGACATCTCTTCCGTATCTGGAAACCTGCTCCAGAGTCTCTGTTTCCAGTGCCAAATCGTACCATCTCCACTCCCTCTGTGCCAGTCACTCTCCACGCCTTGGGCTTGTCATCTAGCCAGAACTCCTCCAGTAAGGCTCCTGCAGATTCACTGGGCCCGCACATCCCAGGCCCCCTCTTCCACCCTGTCCTTAACTTTGAGTTCTTAGGTGCATTTGATATCAGTGACCACCTCTCTCTCAGTATTGGTTTCTTCCAGCACCCACCTCACCCCACTGCTGCTACAGGTCTCTCTTCCCTCTGCCTGCACCTCAGTGCTGTTCCAGCTCTTATCTCTTCAGTCTGCAGCCCCACGCACAACCGTTCACAGGCATTCCCCATTCCCACTGCACCCACCGACCCTCCAGCCAAACTCTGCCATCCCAGTATTCCCTCCTGCCCACAGGGGCTTGCAGGGGTCTCAAACTCAACAATTCAACCTGAAAACATGGGCAACAGTCTGTCACCTGCCCCTCCCCAGCCCCAGGAGACTCACTCTGCCTGCTGCTTCCTGACCACGTCCTGATGGCTGGCCCACTGGTCTGCCCTAGCCGTCCCTTCAGCCTAAACAAGAGAGACTCTCTAAGGGACTTTATTCAGGAACGAGCAGGGGCTGCAAATGTGTGCCAGGAGTCCCATGAGTATTCTTGAGCCCTCTCGTTCCAGCCCAGCACTGAGCCCCATCCTCTCACTTCTCTGGCCACTGCTCACTGCCGTCTCCCTGAGCCAGGCTCTCACATCCGCCAGCAGCTTCAGCTTCCTCCCTTCCGTGCACAGATTACTGCTCATGGAGCTCCAGACAAGCCACACAACACTGCTCAGAGCTCAGAGGTCGCCTCAGACAACATTTTGTTTTGTTTTGAGACAGGGTTTCTCTTCTCAGTAGCTCTGGTGCCTGTCCTGGAACTAGCTCTTGTGGACCAGGCTGGCCTTGAAGTCACAGAAATGCACCTGCCTCTGCCTCTGAGTGCAGGGATTAAAGGCGTGCACCACCGCCCAGCTTGACATTTGTAAACCTGAGCTCTTCTCTCTCCCTTAGGCCAACCTGCTGCTCCCCAGCGGCAGCTGTTGGACCCCTGCTCTTCACCTATCCTGTCTTGGCTTCTCCATACCAGTTCGCTCTGCTCCTGACCAGCTCTCAGCCTGCCTTCTGGACCCATCCGGGCTCAAGGGCCACCTCTCCCTCCCTGTTGACTGCCAGGACCTTTTTACCTCAATCTTTGACCCCCTCAGTCTACTCCCTCTCCTAAAGCCAGGGTTATCTTTAAAAACTGCAAATTGGAGTCTGCAGCGTCAATGACACCGTGTTCTGCTCCCAACTCAAACAAGCCAACAGGATGGGGCCCAAGTCATAAGTAATGGCAAATGCACTAGAAACTACTAAACATGACAAATCTGTCCTGTGTGTTGGTTCAGAGGAAATGAGAACTATTAGTTGGCCGCTCTCTAACTCCCACGACAGTCATCTACCGCTGCGAGGCCCTGGAGCAGCACACTGCTCTCCTCCCCTCCCTGGCCCGCACAGTCACATCGTCCACTGCCATGGTGTTGCTCTCCCTGCCCGTCTCACTCTGAACACCCAGACATTAGCCTACCTCTCCATCTGTGCTGCTCACAAGCCCCATGCCAGGCTCCACTGACTCTCTTGGTGACACCTGGAACAGACCCCTGTGGCCATCATCCCTATGACCAAGGGTGCAAGACAAGAGGAGACACAACTCCTGTCTCCTGCATGCTTTTGTAAGAACTGGCACGGAAGCAAGGCATGGTTGCTGGGGACACAGCCCCACCACTCATATTACTACAAAATGGCGCCCAGACGTGTGGACAACTGAATCCACTGAAAGCCTGAGAAAGCTTGGGAAAGAGTAAAGCATGTTTTCTTGGTAGCAGCAATTTCTCGGGTCTACTCTGCTTGCTAGAGGCAAGCAAGCGCTCTCATCTAAAAGAGGCTTCCTGACTCAGCTTTAGCTGCAAAACCCTGCAGCTCATTAAGAGGTCCTGCCACGAAACACTTAAACGATGTTGACGAAAAGCTGAACGTATGATTTCGGTTTTCAGCCATAGCAGGGAAAAAGCTGAACCATTTAAAAATGCCGGCTTTCTGGGCTGTCCTGCCAGGGCAAACTCTGACTCTTTTACGCAGGCGGTTCATGCGGTTTGCAAGCACAGGCTGCTGAAGCTCGCTTGCTGGCAGGGACCTTGAAATGCCATAGAGTTGTGGCAGTAAACATGGCTACAGCCAGTACCTCAGCCATGAGGCTGGAAAGCTAAGGAATGGGCTGGATCTAGCTGCCAAAGTCACGGCTTTAATTCCACCCATATTGCTCAGTAATTTAAAGGCTCATGTGGTCAGAAAAAGAGAGATATACAGTAAAGAGAGATTCAAAGACAAAGAAAATTTCTAAATGGTTTACTGTGTGTTAAAAATATATGCAGGCTAAAAGTTGAAGTTCTTAAAGTAAAAAAAAAAAAGGAAGAGAGTTGTTGGGTGTGGTAGTACACACCTTTAATCCCAACACTCGGGAGGCAGAGGGAGATTGACCTCTGTGACTTCTAGGTGTGGTAGCACAAGCTTTTAATCCCAATGCCTGGGAGGCAGAGACAGGTGGATCTCTGAGAGTTCAAGGACAGCCTGGTCTACAGAGTTATTCCAGGTCAAAGATACAGAGAACCTGTCTCAAAAAGCAAAAAATAAAAATAATCAAAATAGAGGTTAAAATAAAACGCACAAAGATGGAAAATACACAGAGAATTTTGATACTGTATGCTATTATGCTCTGTTTGAATTGTTTGAATGCTGAGAAAAGAGCAACAGCTGCTAAAAGATATTTGTTTATAAATGCTGCTGAACTAATCCAACATAGATATTTTGAAAATGCCTTGACTTCGAAATTTGGATCTAAGGACATGATGCTTTGGAAAGGAGTTTCTTATTTTGTTTTCACAGAGGGTGAGAGTCTGTGGATTGTTTCTATTCCAATATGGTATGATGGACCATGCCCTCCTGAAAGGTTGCTGTGAACACCTTTAGAAAACTGCTTCGCTCAACTGCCAACTGAGATGAAACTAGCACACAGGTTATACCATGAAAGACCTAATTAACGATGCCCTCATTCAGCAGGAAGAAGTTTGGAGAGAAAAAACTGCAACCATGTTCCCAAATATGGTTTATAAACGTTCTTTTACATTTAAAGGGGGATATGATATAGATATGAATAATTTGCATTAGTATAGATTTTGCTTTATTGATAGAGATTTAAGGTCAATTTTGTTATATGTATATGTATTTCTGATCTTTATTAAGGTATTGTGATTGTGTAGTTCACTTAAAAATGTAATGTATAGGGCTGGAGAGATGGCTCAGCCGCTAAAGGCTAGGCTCACAACCAAAAAATGTAATGTATATAGGTTGTTAATGGATAATCAATAATAGTCAAGCTTGTAGTCATGTTAGTTAAGATTTTCTAGATGTACATAGATATACTTTAGATAGGTATTCTTCATATTTTTCAAAGATGATAGAATATGGCATTTTAAATGTTTTAATAACTTAGGGTTTTTCATGACAATGAGACACTCTGCTCCTGGCAGCACCAATCTACTTCAAGAAGAAGATGGGCATCAAAGAGGATCCTTATGGAGTTTGATAGCCATTTGGGCAAGAAACTGCTCTTGCCTGGACTATTGCATAAACTGGACACAGAGAACCTGCAGAGAGAGGACTACTGAACTTGCCTAAGGTGAGATGATCTTTCGGGGTTCCTGATTCATGAAAGAGTCTGCGAGACATTCTGCAGGACACAGCAGATAGTGACTGAACTGCCTTTGAAATTTCCTGCTTCATTGAAATGTCTGCTGGAAACTATGGGCCTGTAGGCCGAAGATGGATGCCCCAACAGTACAGAGGAACTTTGGGTGACTGTCCAGGCAGCGAGATGTCTCTGTGATTTTTAGAGTTTTGTAAATTGCTTACTTAGGTAATTATTACTTAGGTAATAATATATCCTTCTGGAGTCTTTGATGGAGTTGAAGAATAGATAGATAGTTACAGTTATAGTTTTCCATTGTTATGATAAAGATAAAATAGGTGTAAATATTGTAATTTTTACTTGATAACTGTTTTGTTATATGTAATTTTGCTATGTTAAAGTCAAAGCCTTCCTTTTTTTGTTTAAACAGAAAAAGGGGAAATGATGGAGGAGGGTCATTGGCTGGTAAGGAAACTGCCTTGGCCCATTTTATTGGTTAGAACATAGGTGGGTGGAGTAGACAGAACAGAATGCTGGGAGGAAGAGGAAGTGAGCTCAGACTCGACAGCTGCTCTCTGGAGCAGAGATGCCATGCTCCCCTCTCCTGGGCAGACGTGATAGCTCTGCTCTCTGAGGCAGACGCGATCAAGCTCCAGCCCAGGATGGACGTAGGCTAGAATCTTCCCGGTAAGCGCACCTCGGTGCTACACACTTTATTAGAAATGGGCTAGTCCAGGTGCGAGAGTTAGCCGAGAAGAGGCTAGATATAATGGGCCAAGCAGTGTTTAAAAGAATACAATTTGTGTGTTGTTATTTCGGGGCATAAGCTAGCAGGCGGCTGGGGTGCTGGGGACAGAGCCCCGCCGCTCCTATTACAACACATGGTGGCAGACACCTCTGATCCCAGCATTCCAGAGGATGAGGCAGAAGGGCAACCTGATCTACATGGAGCTCAGTGCTCCATGACAGCCAGAACTACATAGAGAGGCTCTGAAAACACAAAACAAAACAAGACCTGACCATGGGGCTGGTGTGCAGAAAGTGTGCAACACAGACGGATGAACGATTCTGCCTAACAGGAAACCTGTACCCACTTCTCCTAGAGCAGAGACCCACAGGATAAGGCCCAGTAGCCCCTGCATGCCCTAACCCAGAACAGGTTGAGGTCACCCCAACTCTTTCCAGCAGTTTGGTCCAGCAAGGTTCCAAGAAGGAACAGTAATTACACCTAGGCACTGCACCCTACGTTTATCTGTTCTGGGAGCTGAGCCTAGGCCTCATGCACGCGGGCAAGCATGCCACCACGAGCTCTACTTCCAGCCCTGCCCCTCTTTATTTTAAGGCTGCCATCCTTCACCTCCATGCTGGATGGCAGAAACTGCATTTTAAATGTCTCACCTTCACAGCACAGGGACCAAGCACATCACTGGCCCAATAAATATCCACTGAACCAACTTGTTTTTGTTTGTTTTTTTTTTTGTTTTTCAAAACAGGGTTTCTCTGTGTAGCCCTGGCTGTCCTGGGACTCGCTCTGTAGACCAGGCTGGCCTAGAACTTGGAGATCTGTCTGCCTCTGCCCCCTGGTATTAAAGGTATGCATCAACACCATCCAGCCACAATGTCAATTCTAATAGATAAACCAAAAACTAAAAAAAAAAAAAAAAAAGAAAAGAAACAAAAAGAAGCAGGTAGCTTAAACAGCATCGGGACTTTGTATATGTGCAGCATATTCTTTGAGTGGATTAGGTTTTTTTTGAGACAGGGTCTTGTAGTAATAGGAGCGGCGGGGCTGCGTCCCCAACACCCCAGCCGCCTGCTCGGCTAGCTTATGCCCCGAAATAATTACACAGACACTGTATTCTTTTAATCACTGCTTGGCCCTTTAGCTCTAGCCCTTACTGGCTAATTCTGATATCCCGATCAACCCATCTCTAATAATCTGTGAGCACCGGTCTTACCAGGAAGATTCTAGCATAAGTCCATCTTGGGTCGGAGCTGGGGCATGGCGTCTCTCTGAGGCGTCTGCTCCAGAGAGGAGAGCTGTGGAGTCTGAGCTCACTTCCTCTTCCTCCCAGCATTTTGTTCTGTTTACTCCACCTACCTATGTTCTAACCAATAAAATGGGCCAAGGCAGTTCCTTTATTAGCCAATGACCTTCCTCCATCAGGGTCTCACTATTCCAGATCTACCTGCCTCTCCAGGAGCCACTGTGCCTGGTCCTGGGTTTAGTTTTATTTGTTATAGTGATGTATATTGAGATGCCTTACCCCAGGAATACACCTCCAATTTTAAGACATTTAATTTATTTTAGTAGTTCAACCCTATTCACAGATTAAAGGTGAACATTCCAATTTTCTAAGTGTGAGAATGGACAAAAACAATCAGAAAGGGCTGGAGAACAGTCAAAATGGGCTGGAAAGCAGTGTTACCCCAGAAGGCTATGGGGTTCCCAACAGCCATATGGGAAGGGGTGCTCACAACCTCTTGTAACTCCAGCTCCAGGGGATCCCAACACCCTGTTGGCCTCCGTGGGCACGTGCACTCTTGTGTACATACCCCACCACACGAGCGCGCGCGCACACACACACACACATACACAAATATAAACTAAAAGCATAATCAGCAAACACAAGGTGAGTATCATTTCAACAGCCAATTAGTTCCACAGTTTCTAACCACCCACACACAAAATCCCTATGTCCAATATAAACAGAAGGGGGAAGATGGCAGTCCAGAGAAAAAAGCTAAGTAGTGATTCCGGAGCCGCCATGGTTATCTTTAAAGATTTCCAAAAAGCCACACACAGGGGAGCACACGCCTTTAGTCTCAGCACTATGGAAACAGAGACAGGTCAGTCTCTCCGAGTTCGAGGCCAGCCTGGTCTAAATAGCGAGCTCCAGCCAGGGCTGCACAATGAGGTCCTGTCTCAAAAACAAGTAAAAAAATAAAATAAAATATTTAAATCTATTTCCAAAGGAGTGCGTCCTCTTCCCAGCAAGGGGCACCGCCACCCAGGTCCGCCCGGCCTCCCGACGCACCCCCGCCTCCGCCTATGGCTGGCGAGGACCCGCCCACGCCTCCGCCAATGGCAGCCCGGAGCCCGGCCGCGCAGCCAATCTGACCCAGGGGGCGTGGCCTTCGTGAGCCGGGGACGCTGAGGCAGCAGCAGACCGCAGGGAAGCGGGGCCGGGAGGGCGGCCTGAGACCCGAGGTGACCAGCGGCGCTCACCTCCATGACCGGTAGCGTGTTCTAGAACGAGAATGTTCTAGAAGCACATGGCAGTTCCCGACCCGCTCCCCCGTCCCCACGTTACCATGAGCGTCTCCACCGTGTCCTCCACGTCCTGCGGCGGCAACAGCGCAGAGCGCGCCTTCTCGATCACGGGGGACGCGAGCCCGGCCCCGGCCACGGCGAGACTCCGCGGCTCCGCGCTCACGCCCATCCCTCCCCGCCGCTCCGCCCCGCCGCAGGCCTCAGTACCCGAGTCTAGCGGGTCTGTGTTTCCGGGGGAGGAGAAAGTGGGAGGAACCAGTCAGGAAGGTGAGAGTCCACTTCCGCTTCCGTTGATGGAGCCCGTCCGGCGCCTAGTAGCGTTCTGACGCCACCTGGTGGCTGCACGCAGAACTGCAGTCTGCAGTTTTTAGTTGGAGACCCAAGACTTGCCCCCGACTGGGGGCGTTTCTTTTGATGGCTAAAACGTTTTTTTGAAATGTGTGACTGGCTGATTTGTAATTATATTTAATTTTAATTTAATTATATTTAAGAATTTATAGCCGGGCGGTGGTGGCACATGCCTTTAATCCTAGCCCTCGGGAGGCAGAGGCTGGCAGGTTTTTGTGAGTTCCAGGCCAACATGGTCCACAGAGCTAGTTCCGGCACTGCTAGGACTGTTCACACAGAGAAACCCTGGCTCAGGGGAAAAAAAAAGAAGAATTGAAGCAAGTTGGGATGCCTTCCTTTTAGACACGGCTTTTTAAAAATACAATTCATATTTCTCCATTTATTTATGTGTTTACTTATTTTATTTTATTTTTTGTTTTTCTAGACATGGTTTCTTTGTGTAACTCTGGCTGTCCTGGACTTGCTCTGTAGAGGAGGTTGGCCTTGAACTCAGAGATCCTCCTGCCTCTGCCTCCAGCTGAGTGCTGGGATTAAAGGCGTGTGCCGCCACAGCCCAGCTTTTCAAATTTATTTTTGTAGACTTTATTTTAATTATGTGTGTGGGTGTGTCCATGTGAGTGTGGTGCCGATGTGGGGCCGGTAGAGGCCCGAGAGGGCCATCAGATCCCCGGGGCTGGAGTTACAGGCAGTTGCGAACTGCTTGCACGGCTGCTGGGAACTAACCTCAGGTCCTCTACCACATCTCTTTTTTATTTTTTGAGAATTTCTAGCTGCATATAATGTGTCTGATCAAATCCAGCCCCCATTCCCTCCCCTCTGGTCCTTCCCCCCATCCACATCTCTCTTTGAACACTGACCGTCTGTATGTCAATCACATGCCTGATAGCTAAGATTTATAAGATAAATTCTATTATTACTTTCTTAGTCAGTTTTGGTCTTAGAGATGGAACCCAAGGCCTCAGGTTTGCAGCAAGCACTGCACCATTGAGCTACACCTGGCTCCATTCATGCATTCACTAATACACGCATGCATTTATTCAGTAGTTTATCTGAGACTGGGTATTGCTGTGCACCTCTAGATGGCCTGCAGCTTACTAAGTAGGTGAGGCTGGCTTCAAACTCATTGAAATCCACCTGCCTCTGCCTCCTGAGTACTGGCACCCCCAGGCCTGACTCATTAATAATTTTTGTGGTACATGTTGAAATGATACTTTAGATATATTGGGATCAATGATTTTTTTTATTGATGTTAATTTCACTTGTTTCTGCTCTTTAAATTTTGGGATTATTTTATGTGTATAAGTATTTTACCTGCATGTATGTATACTGCAAGTGTTACAGCTCTGGAGGGAATGGTATCCTGACTTGTCGGGAAGTCAGGCTCTACCTACAGCTGACCTGTAGGGAAGTTAGGCTATCCCTAAAGTTGGGATCCAGTGGGGGATGGTCTCCCTTCCAGATGTGGGGACCTGCTCCTGGAGAGAGAGCCTTTGTAGCTGAGCTCTGCTTCAAGGGAATTTCCCAGCAGGAGTATGGGGTTCTTCTCTGCATTACTCTGTTGATGGAACCCTGCAGAAATGTAGCGTCTGCTAGGGCTCTGGCAAAAAGTTGTTACTTCTGCTCTGCTTGCCTAAGGGCAATTCCAGCAAAGACGCCGGTGAAAGAAGATCTTCACCCAAAACTATTTCATGAAAGATTTATTTGGGAAGGAGGAATCCAGGAGAGTGGCTGTCTCTGCCAGGGTAGAGGACAGCTGCCAACTGAACAGATTTATACACAGGGCTTCTCAGGGGCAGAGTTTTTTCAGGGAGAAGCTTTTCAGGGTGGGAATTGGTCAGATTTCAATCCCCTTGGGTTTAGACAAACTCAGATTGGCCATATTTCATGCTCAAGGATTGGTTGGTATTGTATTCAGTTGGCCAGGGACAGATTTGGCTCTGGTTTCAGGGTCAGGATGTGTTTTTTTGGTTCTGGTTTCAAGGTTAAAATGTGTTTCTTTCACAGGCTCTGGGTTCAGGGCCAGGGTGAGTTTCTTTGACTGTCCCTTTTATCCTATGTGTACCATATGCATGCAGTGCCCATAGAAGCCAGAAGAGGACATAGATCTCCTGGAACTGGAGTTACAGATGGTTGTGAGCCACATGGGTGCTGAGGACCAAACCTTGGTCTTCTGTAAAAGCAACAGTACTCTCATTGTGGAGCCATCTCTCGAGCCTCCTCTTTATGCTTCTTAAAATACTACCACTAGACCATTTAAAATACCACATTGGTTTGCATTATATTTCTTTTGGACGTTCCCAGTCCAGATATCTCAAATGTGTGGTTTGTGGCTCACTCGCACATTTTGGTTTCCAGCTTCCCATGTATCTGTGTGGCAGACGTGTGGAAGAGATCCTGATGCTCTTGTTGGAAATACATGCACATAGCATCAGTGTCTGGCCATCCCAAGAGTAAAATCTGAACTTACAAACATGCCGTGTCAGAGCCCAACTGCTGCTCAGGCGCAGCCCCTGCAGCAACCCTTTTGCCTCACAGATAACGCCCTGTCTGTGAGTCCCTTAACTGACAGACCTCCAGGTACTAGGAGCTCTCATCTGCAGAAGTGAGTTTACTTCAAAGGAATATCAATGGCCACACATCCATCTCCCCTTTCCTGCTTCCTATCTGAAATCAGAAAGCCTGGCTTCAGGCTTGTGCTGTGATCCTGGCTACTTCTATGTCAACTTGATACAAGCTAGAGTCACTGAAAGGGGGGAACCATAATTGGGAAAATGTCTCCATAAGATCCAGCTAAGGCATGTTCTTAATTAGTGTTGGGGGAGGGAAATAGCCCATGGTGCATGGTGCCAGCCCTGGACTAGAGGTCCTGAATTCTGTAAGAAAGCAGGCTGAACAAGCCATGGGGAACAAGCCAGTAAGCAGCTCTCCTGCATGGCCTCTGCATCTGCTCCTGGCTCCAGGTTCCTGCCCTGTTTGGGTTCCTGCCCTGACTTCCTTCAGTGATGAACAGTGATACGGAAGGGTAAGCAACGTAAACCCTTTCCTCCCCAACTTTTTTTTTTTTTGGTCATGGTGTTTCTTTTTTCTTGTTGTTGTTCTTTTTTTAAAAAAAAACTTTTTTGTTGTTATTTTTTAATTTTATCTTATTGATATTTATTTATTTTATTTTATTTATTTATTTATTTATTTTTGGTTTTTCGAGACAGGGTTTCTCTGTGGTTTTGGAGCCTGTCCTGGAACTAGCTCTTGTAGACCAGGCTGGTTTCGAACTCACAGAGATCCACCTGCCTCTGCCTCCCAAGTGCTGGGATTAAAGGTGTGCGCCACCACCGCCCAGCTTTTATTGATATTTATTGAGCTCTACATTTTTCTCTGCTCCCCTCCTTGCCTCTCCCCTCCCCTCTTCAATATTCCCCCAAGGTCCCCATGCTCCCAATTTACTCAGGAGATCTTGTCTTTTTCTACTTTCTACTTTCTATTTCCCATGTAGATTGTATCTATGTAAATCTCTCTTAGTGTCCACATTGTTGTCTAAATTCTCTGGAACTGTGGTTTGTAGGCTGGCTTTTTTTTGCTTTATATTTAAAAACCACCTATGAGTGAGTACATGTGATAATTGTCTTTATGTGTCTGGGTTACCTCACTCAAAATAATGTTTTCTAGTTCCATCCATTTTCCTACAGAATTCAAGCTGTTGTTATTTTTTTCTGCTGTGTAGTACTCCATTGTGTAAATGCACCACATTTTCTTTATCCATTCTTCGGTCGAGGGGCATTTAGGTTGTTTCCAATTTCTGGCTATGACAAATAATGCTGCTATGAACATAGTTGAGCACATGTCCTTGTGGTATGATTGAGCATCCTTTGGATATATCCCCAGGACTATTACTAGGACTGGAGGTAGGTTGTTTCCTAATTTTCTGGGAAATTCCATACTGATATCCAAAGGGGCTATACCCAAAAGTGGTATTACTGGCTCTTTTTTTTTAAATATTTTTTTTATTTATTATATATTTGTCTGTGTGTATGCCTGCAATCCAGAAGAGGGCACCAGACCTCATTATAGATGCTCATTACAGATGGTTGTAAGCCACCATGTGGTTGCTGGGAATTGAACTCAGGACCTTTGGAAGAGCAGGCAATGCTCTTAACCACTGAGCCATCTCTCCAGCACCTTACTGGGTCTTGAGAAAGGTTGTTTCCTAATTTTCTGAGAAATTACCACACTGACATCCAAAGAGATTGTACCAGCTTGCATTCCTACCAGCAATGCAGAAGTGTTCCCTTTTCTCCACAGCCTCTCCAGCATAAGTTGTCATCAGTGTTTTTGATTTTGGCCATTCTTGCAGGTGTAAGATAGAATCTCAGAGTTGTTTTGATCTGCATTACTCTGATGACTAAGGATGTTGAACATTTTTTTAAGCGTCTTTCAACCATTTTAGATTTCTCTGTTGAGAGTTCTCTGTTTAGGTCTGTACTCCATTTTTTTTAAATTGTATTATGTGATCTTTTGGTGTCCAATTTCTTGAGTTCTTTGTATATTTTAGAGATCAGACCTCTGTCTGATGTGGGGTTAGTGAAGATCTTTTCCCATTCTGTAGGCTGTCGTTTTGTATTGTTGACTGTGCCCTTTGCTTCACAGAAGCTTTTAAGTTTCAGTAGGTCTCATTTATTAATTGTTTCTCTCAGTGTCTGTGCTGCTGGGGTTATATTTAGGAAGTGGTTCCCTGTGCCAATGCATTCAAGTGTATTTCCCACTTTCTCTTCTATAAAGTTTAGTGTGGCTGGCTTTATGCTGAGGTCTTTGATTCACTTGGACTTGAATTTTG